AAATAAATCCTTTTTGAAAAAAATAAAATGGTGTGTTCTAATTTTTATTTTTTTTATAGATCTAATAATAAATCACTAATCACTTAACAAGTAAAATAAATTTAATAAAATATTTTTATTTATTTGACATTCTTGTCATTGTAATATGTGCATAATTAATAATTATTTGTATTAAGCAATGAAATAAAATTGATTTAAAATTAGTCTTATCAATTCTTTAAAACATTTAGTTTTCCTATCTAATCATATTAAGTAATATTTTATTGTAGAAGTTGTGTTTCAAATTGAAATTTAAATACACATCAATTTTAACAAAATTTTCTACTTTTAAAATTTTTAAAATTTTAGTTTTTATACATTTAAATCTTAGTCTTATTTATAAATTACAAGTTAAGAAATTCATTTTTAACATATACATTTTCGAGAGCACTTCGCTTTCCTAAGATTATTTTATGGCTCTGTCCCTGTATATATAAAATATATATTTTTTCGATTTGTTTTAAAGCGGATACACTACAAAGTCCAATTCATCAACTAATATCACAACACCAAATTTAACTCATCAAATGGAATTATAAATCAAAGAAAACCTTGAGAAAGATTGACCTTGGGTTTTGGAATCAATAGGTAAAACCTTTGCTTTATTTTTAAAAAATATAAAAAGTATAAACAGTGGATTTCATGTGAGAGTCCATAGTTCAGTGGTAGAGCATTTCACTGCAGATCAAGAGGTCACTGGTTGGCACCCGGTTGGGCCCTATATAGTTCAATAGTTTTCTAAATTTTTAGCCTAAAGACTTTAATGTTCTTTTCAATGTCTGTTGATGTGAATACTATGATGTAACCCTTACCAAAAAGAAAAGAAAAGAAAAAGATTAAAAACAAAAAAACGTGTGCAACTTACGATTTTTAAAAATCTTTTGAAAAATATAACGTTTTACATGTTTGATGAATTTTGTCAAAAGCCTGATGATTTGGTGGGTCTTGATTGGTTAGAAATAGAACTGCTCCAGCAAGTTAATTAGGTAGATTTCAGTAATCTCTTATTGGACTTACTAGAAGATAAATATTATTCTGCAAATCAAGTTTAAATTTTTAAGTTTTAAAATTAAAAGATATTTTAAAAAATTAATTAATTTTTTTTAATATACTAAGTTAATATAAAAATATTTTTTTTATGATTACTTTGAAAAAAATTAATTTTAAGATGTATAAAAATTAACTTAAAGACACATGTACTGTTTAAACATAAAAATAAAAGGAGGTAGAGACTAGCGTGGACATATGATATATCTTCAACTTTTTCGGTTACCACAAATATCTAACATAACATAATTAGGTTAAGTCTAGAGAAAGGAAAAATTGAACATTAGTTTATATATCATCACCTAATCAAACCTTAACCACTAAAAATTAAAAAAAGAAAAAGCAAAAATCATTTTGCAAAAAAATTACTAATACAAAGTTGAAGGAATTAATGGAAATCCTTATGACGGTCAAATTAAATAATGAAATTTCAGAAACATATGCTTAAATTTTTTTATTCTTTTTTTCTTTCTAATTTCAAATATTGGTCCCAAAGTCACACCTTATATATTGTTAATTTAATCGGCTGGTATTTATAAAAAGTTCCCATGTTGGAAAAGTTTTGATGATACACCATATTTGGACCTTAATTGATTTGGTGTAGACGTCACAAGCATCATCTATTAACAAAATAATACTATTTTTCAAGAAAACAACAATGGCACATCAGGCAAGACCAAAAAAAGGATATATGTACACCTTGCATGCATGTCTTTAATAGCCATGTGAACTATTTTTGGGTTCCAAAATGAAAAATATTTTCGGGTTTGGCAATTGGCTAAGATTTTTTTTAAAAAAAATGGTTTGTTAAAATGAAAATCAATTAATATTGCACGATTTTTTTTTTTTTTTACTTTTTGAAAACAATTTATATGACCAGGGGTATCATCAAAGTAGCTAACTAACAGTTGGTTTAACATTTTCAAACCTAATTATCATTGCTTAATTGATTAGAGTTTGATTAATAAACAAATGAGACAATTAAAGAAAGAAATTGAGACAAAGATCGAATGTATCACACAATTTTGTTTTATCTTCTTGACGCATGCATCAATGCAAATGGGAAGAATATATCGGTTTAAGTACCGGTTTAGTCCTCAAACTTTTTTCAATTGGTGCTAAAAT